GGGGGGCGTTGGTTGATGACACGCGGTGCACGTGAAGTGACGTGATCATCTTTGGTTTGCTGGGATTCTTGGGCAGACAAGACGGATGACATCGGATAAGCCAATCCTGATCGAATAGGAAGGAAGGACGTCTTCGTGATAGGGGTGGAAGTTGTCATGGCGAGGCGTGTTGCTGATGCTGTAAAAGACAAAGTGAGAAAGTGCTAACACTGATATCACTGCAAGAATGTTGCTGTTGCCATCCATTTCAAGAAAGCCACTCCTGGCGGCCAACGGATCCTTGATGACTGGAGGAGGTCTGCTGTCGAATGAATTGCACAATTGAATTGCTCTTCCTGCGTAGCTAACACCATTTTCATAATAGTGCCTAGGTGCTGATCTTTAAAGCGAATAGGGATACAAAACCTCATTACCCAACCACCCCAACAACCCTTTGACCCATCCAATTTTTTTTTTAGAAAACCCGGGTATTCCAGAACACTGCTTGTAGGTGGCTATTGCGGTGGTGCGAGCCTTTTGGGTGTTTGTAGGCACGGATGCAATTATACTCATGTTGTGTCATGTGGTTTTCGCTATGTGTTTGAAAATTAGAGGGTTATGTGCTACATGTATCCTACTTTTGGGAAATGCCTAATTGACCGAACTGTCAAGATATTTTAAAATTTGTAACCTTGAAAATTGTACCTACATATTCATATTAGATCAGTGATTTCGAAAAAAAATTGTCGGAATGAGTCAAAGCCCAAACATTTAATCCTAACAAGTTCTATTCGCTAATATTCACTCTTTAAAAGATGTGATTGACTAATATTTGAATTAATTTTCACGATCACAAGTCATTCATCCATACCATAAAATCTCCGACCTCTCCGACCTGTACCAGAAATCTGGCACATAAATGTAGAACACATGAAATTTGTGTAAATGATGTGTTTGAGATTAGGGGAACTAAAACAGTGATAGGAATGCCAGAGAGCAAGTTTTGTGTCGAGTTTATAGGCGGCAGGAAATCGCCTGAAACGCTCTGTGAGCTGAGAAAATCGC